GGGAAGGGTAGGGTCTTGCCCGGAGGCGCAAGGGTTGTCACCTGTGTTGGTATGCACATGTGCACGCACACCTTGCTGGTGCACGCATACACGCACGCAAGCAGGCTCTTGCGCGCGCACCAGCACAAACATAGACACACACGCTCTACCTATTTCTCTCTAGCTCAAGCGCACGTGCACCGGCGCAGGCACACGCTTTCCATTTGCCACACACTGCACGCACACAACAAACCCAGGTGCGTGCACGCACGCGCTTGAGCCTCACCCTTGAACATCTGGCCAAACCCAGTCGCCTCTGTGGCAAACATCAGCCACCCAGAGATGGCGGAGACGCCGTGGGGGTAGCAGGCAAACACATAGCGCTGAGAGGGGTCCAGGTCGGCCGTCTTTATGAGGCGCGCGGAGAAGCGCTGGGCCATGAGCCGCCAGATGCCCAGGCTGCGGAGGGGCGTGGGCCCCTCCTCCTCGGTCGCCTTGAGGCCGGGGCCCCAGATGTAGGCCACATAGAGGGCTAGTAGGCCTGAGGCGTCGCCGGTGGATGCATTTGCGACGGCAGGGGTTGCAGCGGTTAAGAGGGGTGCACGCCGGCGGTGCGGAGCGGCAACTTGGGGCCCTCTGACAGGCCGGATGAAGCAATATGAAAGTTACACGGGTTGCGTCGCTCGGGCTGCGGCGCCATGCGGGCGCGTCTTTGGCTCCTAGGACGCATCCACAGACTCGGGCCCCGGCTGCACCCACCTGCAAACACCGCCGAGTGCCACGCCAGCAGCAGCGTCAGAGGCCACAGCCAGAGTTGCCCGATTACGCTCATGCCAAACCAGAAAGTTATTATGCGCTGCAAGGTCTCCCGCGAGTCCGCTGCAGATGGGGGGCGTGCGGCGCGAGAGTGAGGGCGGGTGAGTTGGCGTGCCCGACAGGACGGCGTGTGAGAGGCAGTCCGTCCGATGCGCCTCGCATAATGACTCTTACCACGAGAGAGTGCGGGTAGGGATAGTGGGCTCAGCATGCTGGCCAAGGTTTCGTTTGCCGGGCAGTGTGTGTGATGTGTCGATTACCGTGCGTCTTTCCTTATGAAGGATAATTCTTTTTGTATCTCAAGTTGATGTTTGAAGGCGTCGCGAGGCTTGCGGCTTGTCGGGTCTGCGTCAGCTTTGTTCCACCCCGGCAGCTGGTTCCAAGCAGCAGAGCAGCTGCAGCCTTGAGTAGGATGTACTTGCCGGGGATCACGGCCTGGCGGCACCAAGCACTGCAGTATTCCAAGGAGAAAGTTTTGCCCTCGCTTGCCCTTGCCTGAACAGATCAAAAGATCACCGCAAAAATGCCGCCTAAACGAAAGAGAGCAGCTCCGGAACGAGAGCGCGAAGATGACACTGAACAACCGACTGAAGTAATTGAGGAGCCAGAAGGCAACGGGCAGCAGAACGACGCCCACGAACGGCCTGCTGGGCGCCGCACTGCACCCGCGACAGAGCGCGCAGAGCAGGCCGCAGGAATCGCGCGCAGGTTTGCCCGTTAAAGTGCACTGCACCGTGTGGGCATGCTTGTTATACCTTCAGCAACGGCCGGCAGGCCGTCGCACCCCATGCCTGCGGCTGCTGCGGAGTGGCCCCATGCGCGCAGCGGGGGGCAGGGACCGTGATTGAACAAGCGTGCCGACCCCCGCACCGCTGCATTCCGACGCCCTCAGACGCGCCGCGCACTTCGCAAAGTTTGAGGATGCGGAGGCGGAGGAAGACGGCAACGTGCACGTCGGCGGCGCCAACGTGAGCAGGCAGACGCTGGGGTGGCTCCTCTGTGGCCGGTTGCGGGAGCCTTGGAGCCGTCGAAAGCCTCACACCGCTGATGCTTGGGCAAGACAGGTCTTCCTTCTCGCACGTGCCGACTGGGTGGCAGCGTGCATAGGGAACAGTCCTCCCAGGCGCCCGCACACAGCCGAGCGAGGTGCCAGCCCAGCCAATGCTGCACCTCGCCCGCCGGACGCGGCGCCCCGCCTCGCAGGCGCGCACGCTTGGCCCTTGGTCCAGCGCCGTGGAGCTGGTCAACGCGCGGCAGTCCGCGGCGGCGGCGCGGCAGGACAAGATTCTGGAAGCTGCCAAGGCTGTGGCCGCGCGGCGGGGTGCGCGCCCTGTGACAACATGTCCCGGGCTGTCGCCGGCCCGCACGCGTGCGCGGAAAGCCGATGTGCAGCCGATGGGGGGGCGTTTGTCTTATGTTTGAACGTGGTCAATGGCAGGTCTGAGCTTCAAATGACAGAGGGGGCAAGCAGCTTGCCTGGGACTTGCCCCCTGCCTGGGGGACAAGGGGCTGACCTGCCGCCGCCCCTCCGCGCCCCCGCCGCACGGCCGCTTCGACAGAGGAGGCGGCCTGGACGCCCAGCCGCGACGCCGCGCTGGGCCTGCGGCCGTCGGCGTCGCGCGTGTCGCCGCTGCTGGGCATCGCGCTGCAGCTGCTGGTCGACCACATTGAGGACGTGAGTCTGTGTGTGAGAGTGTGCGTGTGTTTGTGCATGTGTGTGGATTCATCTATAAAGCGTATTCTTGAAACGGGAGAAGTGAGTTTGTGCCTGTGGAGGCGCGCGTGTGTGTGAGACAAGAGGCAGAAAGAGAGATAGAGAGAGGGAGAGTGAAGGCGGGGAGTCAGAGAGAGTGTGTGTAGGTGTGTTCCTGTGGGTGGGGTTGTCTGCTTGCACATGTTTTGGGCGGTTGTGTAAGGCACAGGGTAACGAGTGGATTGGTGTGGTGGAGAGAAATCGGAAGAGTACTTCTTTGGGGCGTGCTTTGCTTTGCTTGATGGGAGTGGGTGGGTGCACACATGGCCGCGTGCATGCATGATCTTGCTTCCTGTTCCTGTTGGGGCCATGAATGCGCCCCCGTCGCAATCTTCCTGCACAACTTGGTTGCAAACAGCTGGCTTTCTGTGTTAGTCAACCCCATGCGCTCGCTCGGCCCCGGCAGGTGGTCTCCCTCTGGGGTGTCCCAGACGCCATCAAGGTGCAGCTGGCCGCTGCGGTCTGCGCGCGGCGCGCGATGAGCCCGGCCGCCGCGCAGCTGTTTGCGGAGCACGCGCCCAGCGAGGTGGTGCTGCCAAACTGCACGCAGGTGCGGCCGCAGGAGATGTGTGCGTGCGTTGGGCGGGACGGCAAGGGACTGGGGTGGCGGCATTGCACGAGGGAGGAGGGAGGGGTGGTGGAAGCAAAAGCCCGGCGTGCTGGCGAGGGCAGGGCTTCATTGCTGATGCCCGCTTGCAGTTCTTGCCCAACTCGCCACGACAACCACGCGACTTGCAATAGACACTCCTGCCGGGCCCGCCTGCCAACCCTGCTGCTGCCCACCCCCACCCATCACCCCGCCGCAGCTGGACCAGGAAGCCATGCAGCAGCTGCTCGCCACCGCCGCCAGCGCCCGGCTCGAGTCCCTCGACCTCGGCTGCTGCGGCCGCGGCTTCACCGACGCCTCCGCGCTCGCGCTCTCCGCCGCGCCGCCGGGCGGCCTGCCGGCGCTGCGGCGGCTAGCACTGCAGGGCGCGTATAATCTGTCAGACGGCGCCCTGCTTGCGCTGCTGGAGAGGGCGCCCGGGCTGCTGCGGCTGGCGGTGCCGCAGGCGTCCAAGTTTGACGGGACGCTGGTGTCGCGGCTGCCGGCGTTGCTGCCGGGGCTGCAGGAGCTTGACCTGGCCGGTGAGGCGGGTGGCAGCAGGGGCGGGAGAGTGAGTCGGGGACGCAGGATGGGCAACAAGTGTGGGGAGGCAGGGGACCTGCCGGGGAGGCGGGCTTGTGGTTGGAGCAGAGCGGTTGCGGTTTTGGGAGGCATGGCGGTCGGGATGTTTGTCGCGACGGGGTTTGGGTGGTGGAAGCGAGAAGGATGGCTGGGCTGAGGTGCGGGGCTGGGGCCTGAGGGCTATGCGATGTTTGTTAGGGGTTTGTCGGGGGATCGCTTGCGGGGTGGCAGTCGCTCTGCAGGGGGCTCTGCCGGGGCAGTAGTTGCACGGTGGTGTGGGACCAGGGAGGGTTGAGGCAGGCAGGTACGGTGAGGGTGAGCGTGAGGGTGAGGCGGAGAGGTGGGCGCTCCGGGTTTGAGGATATTGGATGTTTGCGAGATCAGGCTCTGCAGCGACAGGGTGGGTGGTGGCGTGCCAGCATTGAGCCGGTTCCAGTCTCGTTGCCTGGTGAGCGCCTAACGCTGTCCTGGTCGAGTGCGCCTGTCTTGTGCACAAAGGTCACGTGTCCCCTCTGCGCACAATGCGCACCTGATAAAACCCGCAGAGTGCCGCGGCGTGCCCGGCGATGTGCTGGCGTCGGCGCTGCCCCACATGCTTGCGCTGCGGCGGGTGACGCTGGACGGCATACCAGAGGTGTGCGTGCGTGTGTGTGAGTGCGCTTGTGTGTGTGTGTGTGCGCGCGCGTGCCTGTGTGTTTGCTTGCTCGTGTGTGCGTGCATGAACAAGCAAGCGAGTGCGGCAGGGGGGGGGGGTGGCTGGTTCGTGGGCGGGCGTGGGTGGCATGACTTGCACTGGGCATGCAGCGTACTTGCCACCCCCACCCAATTCGATTTGCCCGGCCCGTGGTGCAGGCTACGACAAAGCTCTCAGGTGCATACATGACAGCGCACCCACGCCTGCAGTCCGCCCCGCGTGCGAACATCCCGGCTTGCCATTCCTGCCCCAGGCCGCTGCCCGCCCATGCCTGCACCAGGCACTGCACCTCATCACGACACCCACGGCCCTCACTCTACACCATCCATGCGTACCCTCAAAAGGTCAACGATGCGGTTTTGGCTGCCGTCGCGAAGCTGCCGTCCCTCACCGCCCTCAGCCTCTCAATGTGCCAGACCGTCACCGACGCCGGCGTAAACTCGGTCGCATCCAAGGCGCCGCAGCTGCAGGAGCTCGCCGCCGACGACTGCACGAGGCTGGGGGACGGCGCGCTGGCCGCGCTCGCGCGCGGCTGCCCGGGCCTGCAGGTGCTGTCGCTGCGCCGCTGCGCCAAGGTCACGGACGCGGGCATCATCGCGGTCGCCGAGCGCGGCCAGCTACGGCGCCTCGCGGTCGGCGGCGTGCCCGGCGTCGGCGCGGCGTCCGCGGCGGCGCTCGCGCGGTGCTGCGGGTCGCGGCTGGAGGCGCTTGACGTGTCGTTCTGCAGGGGCCTGCCAGAGGCGGCGCTGGGTTTGATTGTGGACGGCTGCCCGGGGCTGCGGGAGCTGAGGGTGTATGGGTGCACCCAGGTGACGGACCGGCTGGTGCATGGGCACTCAAACGACGGTGTCACTCTGCAGGGGCTGGCCACGTCGGTGCATGCGGTCGCTTAGCGTGCCCAGAAGCGGCGACTCACTCACTGTCCGCATTTCGATGCTTGCCTGTGTTTTTACGCATGGTGGTGCATTTTCTGGCGCGCTATGTAGGGGGAAATTCTTGGTAGTTGGCTACAGCCAACGCAGGGGTGAAGCTACTCCTGTCATCCCTTGCCAATCCTGTTTCTGTTTTTCATGAGTTGAAACAAGATTGCGTTGGTTTTGTCTCGCGTATTGTTGAGTGTTGTTCTCAGGCGTGAGCGCAGAAGTGTCGTCATTCATCATGTGCAGTTGTACATCAATATTGTGTGACTGATTTCACGGCAGGACTACTGAAGCGTTCACGTTATGAGCCAGAATACAGTCCTTCCTATACCTGTCATGGTAACGGCTCCACATCTGCCCTTGACGAGCAGACGGCTGATGAAGTGGCGGGCGTGCACGCCAGTCCTTGAGTTCTTGCAGCTCAAGCATCTGTGTGTACCAGGATACATTAACCACACTGGGCAGCTCGCATATGTAGCGACAGTGCTTTGATGCTGGCTTTTCTCATTGACAACGTGCTACCAGCAGGCCAAACACTCATGTGGCTCTGGGTCGACAGAGCGCACCGACGGTCTCCTCTGCTTGGAAACTTGCGACTTGTCTGCCAGCTTCGATTGCCGCCCGTTGCGCTTTTCTCAGCGCACTGCTAGCTGCCGCTGCTGCTGCCGCTGCAGACCGCACCAAGGAACGCACGCACAGTGAGCAGCAGCCTTGCAGGGGTGATTTGCATCATACCGCTGGTAGTGCAGCTGCAGTTTGGCACTCGTCGTAACCAAGCCTACTGCGCCCTCTTGCAGGTCGCCCCACCTCAGCCACCACTGTGTGTGCTGCAGCGAGTGCGCACAGGCGCAGGGAGTCCGGCCGCGTTGAAAGGGGGTGGTGGGACTTGTTTTGCGAAGTCGCCTCACCCCACGAGCCTCGCCACCTTGCGCTGACTCCTGCAGACCCATCTTGAGCCAACCGGCCTCAAGCCACGTTAGTGTCCTGGCGATGAAACTCCCAGATTCCCCACAGGCTATTGGTGATGATGATGCAAGAACGCTTGGGCCGATTCCCCAGATGGAGTTACACGGGAGGGGTAGAGCCACGCTGTGGCTGTCACCCTCGATGAGCGCCTCGGCCCACGTCGCCATGCTGCAGGGCGTTCCTGCCTCTGCGTCAAGCTGCGCATACCGCTGATGTGCTGTGAAGAGGGCCGCAGCGCGACTTTGAAGGGTGCAGCAACAACACTATGGTATGCAGGGCTGCCGGAGTTGGCCTTGCCCAGGCGCTTGCTCCAATGCGCAAGCACGGCAGTCGCCCTGCCATTGTAGTATGTGGGGTGTTTCATCTCAACCCGCACTGCCAGCTGTGAGCAAAGCCCAGCCTTTCTCGCTCGCAGAGATCCAGCCTGCTGCTGGGTGCTACTGACGACAACCACCCACCTTGGAGGCTGTGGCTCGCCTTGACACCGCTGTCAGGCCTGGTAATACGTCGTGCAAAGTTTTGCGTTGGGTTTCAAGCTTAAGCTGAAATGCAAGACTACGGTTGTGGCGTCGGTGTCACCAGCGCACCGCACAAGTGACACGACGGCTTCGAGGGCAGGATGCCCAGACACCCCTGGAGACAATACTTGAATTCCAAGCGCCATGCGCGCACCTCCTGACCGTGCTAGCAAGGGTCTCTTACAAGCACGGAAAGGGTGCGTGCGTTGTACGTTGTCCGCCATCGCTCGCCTTCGCTTGCTGGCTGAAAAGAAAGTTTTTCATCACTTCTACTGCTAGCTAGCCAAACACTGGCTCTCTGCCGTCGCGGCGAGCACCGCATCGGCTGTCTACAATAAAACCACAGCGCGGCAAACAGGCCGCGAGACGGTGCTACATGAACAGCTGGTGCTCCAAAAGTATCCACGCCGCACCATTCCAAGCAGCATGCGGCATGCCGTGCCCGTGGCGTCCTTCGGCGGTCGCAACGTGGCCGCGCCGCGCACGAGAGAGGTGGTGCCCGCTGCACTCGCTGGCCCTTTTGCTGGTGCTCCTGGCGGCCACTGCTGAGGCAGCCCCCAATGGCCGGGGATTGCAGCAGCGCGGCGGGGCAGAGGTCCCGCCGTGGGGCGAATGCGGAGGGCTGAGCAGCCCCACCAGGGAGGACGCACCCGCATTCCCATGCTCCAGAGGGCACTCCTGCCGGCGGCACGACAAGTGAGCCCTACAGCGCCGAAGCGTATGCCAAATTGGCACGGGCGCGCGCTTGATGCTTGGATGGCCGCCACTGTGATGCATGAGGTGGCTCTGGCACCCAGTCAAGGGTTGTTTTATCGGGTTCACGTGGTCCTCACACCCAAACCGCGCCCCGTGTTCCGCAGGTGGTTCTGGCAGTGCGTACCGTCTGAGTGGGCTGCGCAGAGCCGCAAAATCGCCATGCTGGAGCAGGGGCCACGGCGGCAGCAGCAAACGTCGATTTGGTCTGCGTGCGGCGGGATCAACGGCCCCGGGGGCAAGGACGCCCCAGGCACATCATGCGCCCCGGGCCAGACGTGCACGCGCTCTGACCGCTACTTTTGGCAGTGCCGCTACCCCCGGGAGGCGGCGCGTGCGCCCCCGCAGGCCGCGATCCCCTCTCGGCCTGGCCAGCAGCAGCCGGCGGCGCTGTGGGCGCTCTGCGGCGGCATCAATGGGCCTGGCGCCAGGGACGCGGCTACCCTGCCCTGCAGCCCAGGGGTCAGCTGCAACCGCCTTGACCAGTGAGCCGCCCCGCCAATCGCGCAGCTTCCCGCCGCATGGGGCCAGCGGCTGCGGCACGCTCGTCTGGATGGTTGCAGGCCCGCTGGGCAGCAATTTGTGGCGCAGTGGCGCACAGGGCCCGTCCGTGCACGACCATGCAATCTCGTGCTTTTCCTCAACGCCAAGCACCCTGCATCGACGCCAATCAACGGCATGCTTTGGTTCTCCACCTGCCGTTGCCCCTCGCTCACGCACTCAGGTGGAGTTACATTTGCCAGCCATTCAAGGCGCCACGCGCTCCCAGTCGCTCTGCAGCACCCGCTGCGAAGAGCCCACAGCAGAAGCAGCAGCAGCAGCGGCAGCAGCAGCAGCAGCAGCAGCAGCAGCAGGGGCAACGGCAACAGGAACAGCAACAGCAGCAAAAGCAAAAGCTGAAATCGCCGCCGCCGTCGCCGCCGCAGCTGGAAGACCCGAAGCCAAAGGAAGTCAAACAGCCACAACCAGACGCCCAAGTGATGCCGCAGCCTCCTACTTCGGAACTGCCCGCCAATGACAGCAGCGCTGCCACGAACACGTCGCAGCCGCCGCAGGACTCGGCGCCGGCGCCCGCCGGCCCCCTGCCTGCGGCGGAGCCCGTACAGCTGCAGCTGGGCTTCTATGGTGCGTGTCTGCGGCTCTGCTAGCGCCAGATGATCGGAGCTGTCGCGCATTTGGCAGCTGCCCTGGTCCCGCAACGTCGGCCCCAGCCGCGTCCACAGTCTGCGGCGCCTTGCACCCAACCACGCCCCGTTCGTCCCCCAGTGAGATATGCTTTGCCCTCAACCCCCGAACTTGCGATCTCTCGACAGGCACGCTCATCCAAGATTTCGATGCGCAATACAAGCGAGGCGCCCTGGCAGCTGTGTCCCAGATTTCTGGCGTCCCAGCCAGCAACATCACATCAGTCATAGTCCAAGGCATCCCGCCACGCACCCCCGCCCCCGCCCCGCCCGCCGCCGCCGCCGGCGGCAGCCGCCGCCGCCGCGTCCTGCTGCAAGCGGGCGCGGCTGCTGGCGGCCCCGGGGAGGGCGCGGCCGACCCGCGGGGCACGCTCGCCACATACAGCCTGGCGGCCCCCTCCCCAGAGGCCGTGCGCTCCGCCATCCTCTCATCCATCCAAGACAACGGCGCCCAATTCTACGAGGCGCTTGATGCGCAGGGCGTGCCGCTGCGCCCTAGCGTGTTGCTCGACGGGGCGGAGGTCCTGGGCCCCGGCGGCGGCGGGCCGCCGCGGTTTGTCAAACTCCCGCCGGGCGAGCCCGCCGCGCGGGCGGAGAAGCCTGAGCCGCCGCCCGCACCCGCGGCCGCGCCTGCGGCGGGCGTGGCGGACGGCGGCGGCTCCCAGCTGTCGCGCGGCGCCCTGGCCGGGATCATCATCGGCGCCGGCGTCGGCGCCGCGCTCCTGGCCCTGCTCGTGGCGTGCTGCGTCGTTGCACGCCGCAGCCGCGACCAGGGGACGCTCGACGCGCCAGGCAAGGCGCCGGTGGCGGCGCCGCGGCAGCAGCAGCAGCAGCAGCAGCAGCAGCAGCAGCAGCAGCCGCCGCCGCCGCCGCCGCAGCAGCAGCAGCGGCCGCCGCCGCCGCCGCCGCCGCCGCCGCAGCAGCAGCAGTGGCAGCAGCAGCAGAAGCAGCAGCAGCAGAAGAAGCAGCAGCAGCAGCAGCAGCAGCGGCCGCAGCAGCAGCGGCCGCGACGCCGCTGGCTGTCCTGGCTCTGGGGGCCGCCCAAGCCGGCCGTCAACGTGGAAACTGTTGGGCAGCTGCGCTCCAAGTACGCCAAGTCCACGCCCCACCTGCAGCCGGCCGGCAGCGGCGGCAGCGATGCGGCGCCGCGGGACCAGCAGGCGCCACACCTGCAGCAGGCGCCGCGCGACCCGTATGCGGCGGGCGCGCCGCCGCAGAGCCTTCCGAAGCTGCAGCTTTGGAAGGCGCCGCCGGGGCTGGAGGGGGACGGGGGCTACGTTGTCGCGCGCCTGAAGGACAGGCCGGAGCGGGAGGCGGATGCGGACCAGCGGCAGCAGCAGCAGCAGCAGCAGCAGCAGCAGCAGCAGCAGCAGCAGCGGCAGCAGCAGCAGCAGCAGCAGCAGCAGCGGCAGCAGCAGCTGCCGCAGCAGCGTGCGGGAGGCTTAGAGTTGTTTGGTCAGGGCAACAGCGCCGGCGGAGACGAGGAGTCAGTGAAGTCGCACAGCGCGCCCGTCCCACTGACCACCACGCCAGCCGCGCCTGCGGCGGCGACGGCGGCGGCCGCCGCCGCCGACCGCGGGCGCCCACACAGTGAGCAGCCACCCCAGCGCTCGCCTGGCAGCGTGGGCGCGAGCGCTGACGGCAGGGCCGCGCTCGCCCCCAGCCCCCCGGCGCCGCCGCAGGAGCCCGAAGACCCTTCGCCCTTTGCGGACGCCGCGGCGCGGCTGCGGCCGCCGCCCGCAGCGGTCGTCGACGGCGGCGGCAGCCGCGCCCTCCGCGCCGTCCCCCCCTCTCCTGATGGCTCGCCCCGCGCCGGCCTCCCCGTGCGCCGCGGCATCGTGGAGGACCCCGCCCCCGCGCCGGTGCCGCTGCCGCCGCCGGCGCAGGTGCTGGCACCCCACAGCTCGGCGCACGCCGTCAGGTTCGGGTCGGGCCTCGATTTCTCGGCCATCCACAGAAACAACTACTCGGTCCTCGGCAGCAGCATGGCCGGCGGGCGCCAGATCACCGCTGAGCGGGTGAGAGAGCAGCAGTACCGGCATTACGGCTTCCCGGCGGGTCCCGCCAGCAGCAACGGCTCCAGCAGCTTGCCTGGCAGTGAGAAGGGCAGCATCCGGCGCGCCGTGGCGGAGTGGCCGCCGAAGCCGCGGGCCGATGACGAGGACGGGGAGGGCAGCGTGTGAGGGGATCTGATTTGGCAGGCGCTCTCGAGGCCGGCGGGGCGCGCAGCCTGCTCAGCTTCCGACCGCTGCCAGCAGGCTGCGGGGCGGGAGGCGGGGCGGAGCCCGGGCCTTGCCGGCGCTACGAATTCGTGGGGGTCGCCTCGACGGGGCGCGCGGGCTTCCTTGCATCTCAGCCCTTCCTGAGGCGCCCAGGGTTCCTGAGGTGCCCTTCCACTCAACAGCCAGAGCCACGGGCGGTTTGGTCGGAGGGTGCCAAAGGCAATCCGTCAGGCGCGTGCGCGCCAGGGCGCGGCCCAGCTGCGCGCCTTGGACCCCGTCTGGCTTGGGCCAGGGGCCTAAAGGCATGCCAGGCAGTGGCGCGAGCGTCGGCGGCGCATTCACCCTGGGCCTCCGCAGGCAGCAGTGTGCTCGGCAATGCTGGCATGGCCGCACCGTTCCGCCACCACACTGCAAAGGAAGCGATGAGCTTTCAGACACGACGCCGAGGGGTGTTGTTGTGCTCACACACGCACAGAGCTTGTGGGCCCGCGCACGCGTGCTTGAATATCAAGGCCCACTGATTACGTTTGACATGCACACAATGAAATGGCGCGTGCCTCTACGCGCCACTCCCGGTCCATGGCCCAGGCTGCATCCATCCAGGACCCACCATCCGTGTGACCTCACGTGATCACGCGCACCACGCGCCCCCGGGGCCCCCGCCGCCGCATGCTCGGCTGCAGCTCGCGCGCCCGCTTCCTTCCCATCATCTCGACACCGACACACAAACACACACACACCACAACACGCACGCACGTTTGCATGAATTCACGCATGCAGCCATCGCTGCGCCGGGCGTCCGCGCCCGTCTGCTGCCTTAATCTTGCCCAGCTGCTGACGCCAGCAGCTTCAATGGCTTGTCAACATGAGGACGTTGTTACATTGTTGGTGCTGTTTCGCTCAAGCGCTCAGGCTGGGATGGTTCTCGCTTGCTAGCCTTGCTGACTCGTCCCCCTCTCAAAAGATGGCGCGCAAACTGTAAATTTCACAAACTGCTGTCATCAAAATTGGGAGTGCAGTCCGATGCATGTACAGCGAACGAATGCAAGGCGAGGGCGGTCAACTATGAAGATGAAGGCGTGCTGATGATGGACAGAGTGCATGGCCTGGCAGCCAGTGGCTAGCGTGTGTGAATGCACCATGATGCAAGGCGAGGAATGGTGGCATGTGGTGACCACCGGAAGTCTCCTCAACAATTGGTCACCGTTACCCATCGGCGGGGGTGTGCGTGTGGGCGACGTCCGCGGCCCGCCGTGGCGGCAACCCGTTGACTGTTGGGCGTGAGCCCGTCGGCAGCATCCAAGCGGGGAACAGGGCCTCTCCGCCGCCCGTGAGAGGTCCTGGCGCGCAGCGCCGCAGTAGTCGCGCGGCAGGCACGGCCCCCGGGCAGGCGCTGCTCGCGCAGCGCTGCCGCTTGCTCGGAGACAGCCAGTTGGTGATGTCAGCGCAGGCGGCGCACTCCTGGCGGCTGATGGGCGCTGGCAGCCAGCAGGCGGCCTCGCTGGCGCTGCCGAGCAGCCGTCCCCGTCGGAACGGCTCGCCCGGCCC